TATCTCTATGTAACATCCCCGCCCCCACGTACATCGCTTGGGTATCTGCAGGTGGGTCTTGAAGTTCTCCAGGAATTACAACTAGTGCTATCCTATATATATGATATGTTGTAATTCCTGGAGAACATCAAGACCCACCTAGAGGTATATATCAGTTCTCAATGGACTTTGGTTGGAGAGAGACTAAGAGCTCATCTGAAATGGCAAAAATTAACTTCTGGATTTTACTTTAGCAGCAGCAACTGCCCAGATATTCTTGTTAGATCTTTTTATTATTATTTGTGCCAGTGAGGACTAGAATCTTGATTAAAAACAAAGAGAAAACAAACACTGGAGATAAAAGCTGAAATCCTCAAGAGTTACATGAATAGCCTTTTGAAGCGAAGAACAAGAAGCTGATCAGAAAGTTCACTCATAACAACTAACATATTAACACAGAAACATTGAAGCTGAGATAAACAAGAACTCTACAAGTATATTGTGATACTAATAGTATTAACACTTACACTAACAGGGATAAGATCTCTGCCTTTTAGTATAGTGTGGTTATCTATTCTTTATCCTTTGTGCTTGGGGGGGTCAACAGTGGGAGGGCTTTTAATGTCCTGGCCCCACTGGTGGACCTCCTGATGGCACTGGTATTTCTGGCCACTGTGTGACACAGAGTGTTGGACTGGATGGGCCTTTGGCCTGATCCAACATTGGTGCCTCTTATGTCTCTTATGTTCTTATCCTTAGATGTAGTTCCCTCCCTAATATTTTCTTTGTAGTTTTGTAGTTTATTGCAAAAATAAAAATATTCCTTCGGGGATTTAAAAAAAAAAAAAAGAGTTACATGAAGCTTGACCTGAGCACATCCAAAAAGTTGTAAACCATCATGTTGACTTACACAAAATCCAGAACAAGACATAAAATCCATTTAGTAACTTCTATTGGAGACAGCCCAAACGACACACAATGCTGTGCAAGCTTTCGAGCTGGTCAGGACTCTTCATAAGGCAAGAGGATATACTGTTTTAAAAACAGGGAAAGAAAAATCAAATGTTCTATGTCCAGGTCTTAAGACCCCTTCTTCCCAGCATTTTGTTTTAGATAGGCTCACAGACTGCAGTTTGATTGTTGTAGGTGTCCACCTCCTCCCTTCCTACAGTCCAATATCACCGAAAGTGGAGCAAATATTTGCCAAGAACAGGCTGGAAAGAAAAGTGAGCAAGGGTGACTCATTCTTCCACATCCGTAGAGTGGAGTTTGGGATGCGGATCTCCATCTGCAAAGTGTGATCCGTTTGCTTCCACTTAACCAAGGATCTTGGAGTTACCTTTAAAAGATCACACAAGCGTCCAAAATTTGTTTCTCACCCGAAAGGAGAACATTCAAAAACGAGTTGTGAGCCTTTGAGCGGTGCCTGCCCATTCTTGATCCACGTCAAGTGCTTCATAATTCAAGTGTGGTATAAATAATTACTATGATCTATAATCATATTTAATGGCACGCTTGCTACCAGCCTGCCGAGCAAAAGCCGAAGCCTTCCTCTCTAGCCTAAGGAGGGTTCTTCAGCTTAAGTGGTTCTTCCTCCAACGAAGAGTCACTGAAGCTGGAAGAAGTCTCCTGAGGACTGAAGAACATCCTCCAGCCTGAGGTAGGATACACACCAATATTATTAAACGTTTGGAGAAGGAAATCTTCCTTTGCACTTGAATTGATGATGCTAATCCAGTTTTTGGATCTTAGTACCTCTCCTCTGCCATGAGTTCTGTAGAAAATCAGCGAGTGTCGATGAGTTTGTCAGGAGGGGGAGCCAGGGGCATTAGGGTTGCTGGCTCTGGGCTGGGAAATACCTGGATATATGTGGGTGGAGCCCAGGAAGGTCAGGGTTTGGGGAGGGAACTCAGCAGGGCTAACAGGAACGGAAGTGTCCCTGAAACTGCACGTCATTCTCCTATGAAGGCAACGATTTGCTATGTATCACATCTCTACGTCTGAAGTTGGGATTTTTGGAAACGTCTCTGTTGGAACATTACATATTGGTCCTTTCCACACTCGGACCTCATCCGTAATTTTATCAGAGTTCAAGTCATGACACAATTTCTCCCTGGTTATAACAGCATCCGTTTATCCCGGGACAAGTGTGGGGCGAAACCAGGGTGACCTCAGTGTAATGTGGAAACAAAAAATGCCCCGAGATAATAACAGAGGTGAACTCGAGGGTAGTGTAGAATGTAAGTTCGGAGACAGGGTTGAAACAGGATTTAAAGTCCAGTGCGGAAAGGACCATTGAGATTGAAGAGAAGAGATTGAATTTATATCCCACTTTTCACTTGGAGTCTCAGAGTGGCTTGGAAAATCCTTTCCCCTCCCCACAACAGACACCCTGTGAGGTAGGTGGGGCTGAGAGAGCTCTTTCGAGAACTGCTCTTTCAAGGACAGCTCTGCCCAAGGTCATCCAGCAGCTGCAAGTGGAGGAATGGGGAATCAAACCTGGTTCTCCAAAATTAGAGTAAAGGTAAAAAGGTAAAGGTTCCCTTGCTTGAAGAGCCAGCGCTGTCCGAAGACGTTTCCGTGCTCATGTGGCCGGCATGACTAAACACTAAGGTGCACAGAATGCTGTTACCTTCCCACCGAAGTGGTACCTATTTATCTACTTGCAATTTCTTGCTTTCGAACTGCTAGGTTGGCAGGAGCTGGAACTAGAGATGGGAGCTCACTTTGCCATGCGGCACCCGGGTCTCGAACTGCTGAACTACCAACCTTCCACAACCTGCAGTTCAGCGTCTGGCTCAATAATCCACTTTCAATCCACTTTCCAACTGGATTTTGCCAGTTCACGATGTCACTTCTGCACTGTCACTTTTGTCACTCATTTGTCCCTATTGCTTCAGGGGTTTCCCCCCCCCCATGTGTTTTGCTTTCTCTAGTAGTCCCAGAGGGAGCAAAAGACATGTCGAAGGGGGGGACCCATAGCAATAGGGAAAACCGAGTGACAAAAGTGAAAGTGCAGTGCACTGAAAGTGGATTGAAACTGGCTCATATTATTTGGGTCAGGTCTTGCCTGGCCCGTTCCCTACCCTACCTGTACCACTCCCACTGCTGTGAACAGGGCTGTCTAAATGCCCTCACGGGCTACATCCAATGGCCAGCTGGAGATCAGGCTGGGCTTGCTACTGGATCCACCTCCACTAGCCAACTCCCAGCTCCAATCAGCTGCGCCCGGCACTGGCATGGCTGCTCCTGCCTCTGCTGCTGCCGGTCCTGGGAAGAGCTTTCCTGCAACTTCAAACCTCCTGCTCCTGGCCCTGGTAAGAAAATCCACCAGGGTTTTCCCAGGGTCTGCCTCTCTCTCTCTCCATCGATCCTTCCTGTCTTCCCTGCTTCCATCTCTGCCTTCTTAGAATCCTTCCATCACTCTATATTGTAAGTTCTGTATACCAAAACCTATTATTACACCCACACCATGAGCATCATTATACAAATGCTTCATTGCATGTAAGACATTGTGGGGGGGGGGTGCTTAAATACCCTTAAGAGGGGATTCAGTTTCCCCCTCCTTCTACAGAAATTATCTATGCTACTCCTGAGAGTCTGCTAAAACCCTGGGGGGGGGGACTCTAGGTGGCTCAGTGGCCTGCAGCAGGAGGGGGTTGACAGAAATTGCTCCCCCTTTAAGAAAACGTAAGAGGGCCTTAAGTTGTCTTAACTGCATAGTTGGATGCAGGTGTTTACTGCTGCACCAGACATTTTCGGATCTATTCGGTACAGCCATGGGTCATTTTCTGCAGGAGCGCACAGGAGCGGAGCTCCAGCAGTAAAGAGCCCAGGGGGGGCACATGCAATAAGCCCCACCCCCTGCTCCCAGCAGCCCTCAGTCAGAGCAAGAAGTCGCCAGGTAAGTTGCAGAGCTCCCCCCCTGGCCCCCCAGGTCCAAAGCAGTCCAGTGGCACCTTTAAGACTAAGTTTTATTCAGGTACAAGCGCTCCCTCCTCTGCGAGGACAGATCTGCACGTCCCCCACCCAATAGCTAGCAATCCAAAACAGTCCAGTGGAGCCTGAGTGGTGGGTGTTGCCTTCTGACACACTTCCAGTGATGTCAGGGGATGTGGCATATAAGTTATGCTAATGAGCTCCTGCACCTCTTTTTCTACGAAAGGACCCCTGGGTACAGCCCTAAGTAGAGTCACACCCTTCTAAGCCCACTGATTGCGACAGAGTTGGTAACTCTGCATGGGTTGCACGGTTCTTTAGATCAAGATGGGTAGCCGTGCTAGTCTGTCTGTAGCAGTGGTAAAGAGTCCAGTAGCACCTTAAAAACTAAAACAAATTGCTGCAGGGTAGGAGCTTTCGTGAGTCACTGCCCACTTCTTCAGAGACACCTAGAATGAATAGATGGACTCCCATGCTCTTCATTAGCGATCTGTTATTTTTCCCAAGTTTCTCATCCTTATGTATAAACTTACCAGACCCGTTTCCACAGGGTTGACTTGTCCTTTGCAGATTGCAGCGTCAAGTCATAACTTGCAGATGTTGTTCGGTTGTGAGAGATCAAACTTCCCTATCTCTTCATTTAGTGATGTGGCTGATCTCCAGCCTGCCCGTGTAGAATATGGACATGAATTGATTATGGAATGGGACTTTAAGGAACAGGACTTAAAAATGTAAAACCTTGGGAAGTCTTTCAAGACACTTGTCACAGGCACTTGAACACTGCTAAAACTGCTTATGAAGTATTTATGACTATCTACACTAAATGTATTAATCATATCAGGGTTGTATGGCTGAGCCAGTTTGGTGTAGTGGTTAAGTGGTTAAGTCTCTAATCTGGGAGAACCGGGTTTGAGTCCCTGCTCCTCCACTTGCACCTGCTGGATGACCTTGGGCAAGCCGTAGCTCTGATAAGAGCTGTCCTTGAAAAAGAGCCGTTTTGGTCAGAGCTCTCTCACCCCCCCCCCACCTACCTCACAGGATGTCTGTTGTGGGGAGGGAAATGGAAAGGAGTTTGTAAGCTGCTCTGAGACTCCTTTGGGTAGTGAAGGGCGGGGTATAAATCCAATCTCTTCTTCTTCTCTTATTCTATGTAGTTTGATGGTTTCACCTCATCCCATGATCTCTCCTTGTTTAAAACCATGCGTCCCGAGCAGCACACAAAGTTCTCCAACAGATGCATGTTTCCTTACTCATCATCAAGTAGGCGATAAGTGTATGGGAGTGATACCTAAACCAGCCTCAGAACCTCTGGGTATCCAGAGAGACCCCCCCCCACACACACACACACATGAAGGACCTCCCACATCACCCCCTAAGCTGGAGCAGAGTTTACATCTTACTCTTCTTCTCTCTTCTTTTCTCCTTCCAGGTGATTTTTTGATGTTCTCAAGATACAGTTGTGGCCTCTATGCTGAGCTCTGCAACAAGACCGAGCAAAGAGACAATCCCTTCAGGACAAGCTACCACCGCAGTTGCTGTAACTCCGATTTGTGTAATGGTTAAGCCGTCAGGGATCCCAGCACTAACCCTCGCTAGCTGTGCTCGGCTTGGCACTGGGAAGGGAACTGGCATGTTAATAGTGAGCCCTAATAAGGATGCTGTTCTTACCTAAGGAGATGGCCCCGTTGACTCTACGTCCTCCCAGAAGATAGCATCATCTCCTTCTCTTCCAAAGACTCATCTCCTATAGGCCTGCGCAATTGTCGTTCTCCAAGTCAAACGCAGCTGGCCACGTATGGCCGTCTTCTGGGAGCTTGAAAAAAAAATCTTCTTGATATTGCTGCTGACATCGAATGGCTTGTCAAGCACCTCATAGTCTATACTACCCTGCCGGTGGCCTGCATTTGGCTTGGTGAATTACAGTTTTGGGCAACGGGATCTATTGTACATGTTGGTCTGCTATATGTACTAAAATGTATCCTCCCTATCCCTCAATAATATACCAGCCAATTTCGGAAAAATACAAATGAGAAATAACAGTGCTGCCAAGACAAAGTTTTACTCTACAAATCCCATTGACTTCAGTGGACTCAGAAAGGTATAGATCGGTTTAGGAATGCCTTTGCTGGCGTTGCCCACTCTTCCTCTACTGAACCCACGCTAAAGATAAGCTCAAGAAAATATACGTGCATATATTGGTAAGTGCACTTTCTCAGCGCATGATCTAAAATTTTAGTAAAAGCCGCAGGTCCCCGTGGGTGTCATGGCACCTGCAGACATCTGTTCTGGCTCCCACCAAATGTTTTTAGGAAGTGGGCAGGGCCAGGTAGGGCTTGTGCCCAGCAAGGCATCTGATTGACTGCTGGAGATTTGATTGGCTGTGCCAATTTTTTAAAAATGTTGCTTTGCCAGCAGCTGCCACCACAGCACAAGGATCCACACTTTTGCAGCTGGCTTCACCTCCTACAGCAGCCATTTTGTGGCAGCCATTCTGTTGCAGCACCCACCATGCTGTATGAGAATTCCAAATGTGCCCAGGGGCTCCAAAAGGTTGGGTACCCTGGTATAAGCAACAGCATGGAGTTCCTTCATAGCCTTCCTTTCTGGTTGCACGTGCAAATCGAAGAAGTCTGGCCCACTGATCAGCAGGGCTGCCAAGATGGAGGGACAGAGGGTACAAAATCCCCCTGGCCTGGGTGGTTGGGTGGTACGGCTGCCAAACTCCTGCCAGGGGTGGGGTATCCCTGCCCCCAGCTGTCAATTAGCTGGCTGGCAGGGGGATTTACTGGAAGCGGGGGGAGCCCTAATCCTGCATGGCAGAGATAAGGCTGGCCATGTGGCAACATCATTTCCAGCATGCATCGGAAGTGACGTGGGACGGCAATGTGGCAACATCATTTCCAGCATGCACCGGAAGTGACGTGGGACGCTCTGGTATTTGGGCAAAAACTCTGTGGTAAAAACAGCTTCTACCAGAGTGTCTCATGTTTCCAGCGACATGATGATGTCACTTCCGGCATGAACCGTGATGTCACTGTGTTGCTGGTGACATTGCTGTGACGTTGAGCTGAGCAGCCTAAAAGGATATCCATAGAACCGTCAACAAGCTAGAATCCAACCACAAAACATATTTTTTTAAAAAGATGGAACCCCTCAGCTAAAAGCCTGTGTAAAAAGAAATATTTTGGTCTGGCATGTAAAGTGGAGTGAAGTAGATACCAGATGAGCCTCAAGAGGTAGGACATTCCAGAGTTGAGGCTCCTTCACTGGAAAAGCCACGTTTCTGGTCACCACCTCCCTCGCCTCTGCAAGAGAGGGTACACAGAAAAGAAGAAGTGTGAGTGCTGGGGGACTGAACAGTATGGGAGGAGGCTAGGGCTGCCACTTATCTTCTTGGGGCGGGAAACCTCCCACTGATGCCCCCATGCCCCCCCCCCAGCACTCACTCAATAGAACAGCAGGAGAACAACAGGGGGGAAAGTGATAATCATTGCGGTCATGATGTTCTTCAAAGTTCTTGAAAGTAGAGTTTCATAGAGTTTGGGAGAATTCTGAGAGTGTTCTGATATTCTGGGTAAAACCCAGAAGTGATATTGTGATGTCAATCAACACTCCCCCCCCCCAAAGGCTCCTGAAGATTAAGGGCAAGGGCTTGGCAGCCCTAGAGGAGCCAGCCCTTTAAGTAGCCCAGCCCCAAGATGCTCAGTTCTAGAATTACGCAACATTTCCCCCCACTTTTTGACGCTTGTATCTTGCACTTGGACTGCCTCGTCTCTGCCTGTAGTTGTGCGGCTTGGGATCCTGTTGGTTTGCGTCAGCAACCTGAAACCACCCAATGCAGTGGTCTTCCACCAATCAGTCAACACCCTCAGATGGGGCGTGGAGCTTCCATTTTGAGGTGAGAAAGACCTGTGAAAGACCTGGCTGCTGGTGCACATGCATAGAGAGCAAAGGTGCCATGGCAACTGCTAAGAGGAGCATCAGGGAGGCAAAGCAAGGTCACTCCATGGTGGAGAGGATTCTTTTCAGCGCAGGCAAGCACACCAACCCTCCCCACACAAAAGCTCTTCTGCCTCTTCCCCCATTCTAATCATCCCCCCCTCCCTCAATTTGGAATGCCAATGTGCAATACATGCCCCTCTGTCACTGAGGCAATAATTCTGGTTCTTCCTCTTCCTATCATGTGACATTGAGTTGATGTCACGTGGTCTTGCAACTTCCTCTTCCTGTCATGTGACACTGAGTTGATGTCACCTGGTCTTGCAACCTAGTGGGTTCTGTACTGTTCCTTGGGCATTAAAAGTGGATAGCGGGATTAGAAAGACGAAGGATCAATGACCTAGAATAAATACTCTGGAATTCTGACAGTGGAAGAACAACCAAGATTTCCTTGGACATACTTCGTTGCGTCAATCTTTTTCTTCAAAACCCAGAAATTGCCTGGTGTATTTCATATTAATTTTGGGAGGGGTGGCCTTTCATCTTTGCCAGGGAAAATGTGAGGTTTTGCCTGGCGATGAGGTTTCACTAATTATCCAGAACATTAATACTGTCAGTTCTAACAGCATCTAATATCCATTATATTAAAAGGGACTATGTATTAGTAGCATGGCATGAATCTGCCTGGTAATTCGGTATGCATTGCAGTAAGTCATTTGGTATGCATTGCAGTAATGCCTTTTAAATGTAATATTATTGCTTTGAGATTATATTGCTGTGGCCTTTGCTGAAGGAATGAATAAAGTTATTTAATCATGTCAGAGCCAGTGTGGTTTAGTGGTTAACAGTGCTGGATCTGGGAGACCGGGGTTCAAATTTCCACTCAGAGGGAGGGCCAGTTTGGTGTAGTGGTTAGGAGCTTGGACTCTAATTTGGGAGAACTGGGTTTGATTCCTGACTCTTCCACATGCAGCTGCTGGTGTGACCATGGGTCAGTTACAAGTTCTCTGAGAGCTGTTCTCTCACCAGCAGTCCTCGAATGAGCTCTCTCAGCCCCACCTACCTCACAGGGTGTCTGTTGTGGGGAGGGGAAGGGAAACGAGATTGTAAACTGCTCGGAGACTCCTTTGGGTAGTGAAGGCTGGGGTATAAATCCAATCTCTTCTTTCTCTTCTCATGCCATGGAAGCTTGCTGAGTGACCTTGGGCCAGTCACACTCTCTTAGCCCAACCAGCTCACAGGGTTGTTGTGAGGATAAAATGGATGAGACCGATGTGAGCCACTTTGGATCCCCATTGGTGAGAAACAAATGCGTTAAACAAGCAAAGAAATAAATGCTTCCCCTACAAAAGCCTTTTAATATCCAAGCTAGGCCTAGATTTGGGGACCTTTAGCTCTGTGCTCAAAGAAGAAGGGGATGGCTAAGGATGAGATGGTTAGACAGTATTATCGAGGCAACGAACATGAAATTAAACTCCGTAGCACGACGGAAGACAGGAGGGCCTGGCGTGATGGGGTCCATCATGGGGCTGCAAAGAGTCGGGGCGATTTCTCACTAGAGCTGCCTCGCAGCACAGCGCCGTTTGCCCCAACACAAACATGTCAATTTCACACCCGAGGCTGCGGGGCTGCATTTGACTCGGGGCTTCGCCCGATTTCCTCCGCAGTTTCATGATCCTCAAAAACCAGGATCACGAAACTGTGGAGGAAATTGGGCGAAGCCCCGAGTCAAAATGCAGCCCCGGAGCTTCGGGTGTGAAATTGACATGTCTGTGTTGGGGCTCTAGTGAGAAATCGCCCTCGGACTCGACTGTGACTGAACAACAAAGCTCTGTGCTCTGCCGCCCCCATGTGGCGAGCCATCATACTGCAAATAAAAATACAGACCCTAGTTTCCAAGCCAAGCCTTATTCTACAGCAGAGACAGCCGCTTCTGAATAGGCATCCCTGCAAATGGAAAAGCAACAGCAGGTCCTAGGCTCTTTGGAAGAACCTCTTGCTATACACAGCTGGGATCAGTTTCCAGATGGGAGGATTTGCTCCATGCATGCTGTAAGCCAGCAAGCCCGCTATGGTGTTTTTATGGACTGTGTTATACTGTACCTGATGAAGTGTGCCAACGAGGAACTGTGCCTGGAACTGACATGCTGAGAGCGCCCGGTGAGAGTGCCTACTGAAGATAGTGTTCTGGCAATGGTTGCTTCTCCAAAGGTGTTCCCGTGTCTAATACATGCCATGGATCAACGCACGTGGTCGCAGAAAGCACACAGCACCATTTCAAACCAGTAAAACGCCATTTCAGACCAGCCGCATGGTCACTTACCTCCAGGGCCCCCTTCCCCTCGCACCAACGAAGCTGCACGTACACCCAAGGGCTCTGTATTCAGCCCAGCCGCATGGACATGAGTCATCCATCTGCATACGAATATCCCTAGCCCAGGTGTCTTGATTGAGTTAGCAACTAGATCTCAAATTGCCCTCCAGTTTCCTGGCCCACCCAGAGAAATACAGTAGCCAATCACTAACCTCTTGGCTATGACAGAACACATCGTCACAGGAGAAGTCCCCTGGACCCAGTTCCTCCTCTAGACCCCCCTAAATATAATCTAGAACGCACCCACAGTTCGTTCTCTTGAGCACTCTCTCTGAAACTCCCCCACCGCTCCCTAACGACTCCCTCTACAAAACCTGCTTTACCTCTTAAGCCCAGCTTTCTATCCCAAATCCTACCCATCCCTCTTTATGTTCTAGTATTGCGCAGCTAGAACCTCTTGGCACGTGGTCTTAGCTGGTCTGAGTCTATTCGCCATTCTTTTCTAATTTTCTCCCCATCCTTACCCCTTCGCTGGAAGTTTGGAGCCACGCAGTTGCAGCTAAGTAATTATAACCCAGAGCATCAACCATCGTTTCCTGCAAATTGCAACTGTGCTGTATTATTCTATCTCAATTTCTTAGTTCTTGTTTACTGTGATTGTTGTGTGATTGATAGAACTGTGTCAGTAAACTATTATTATTATTAAGGAAGTTTGCCTCAGTCTTTCATTGGGAACCTCGGAAACAGTGCCATCCTCCGTAAACATAGACGGAAGAATCCCGATAATAATAACTGTACCAGTCGTTTCCATTAAGGAGCAATTCGGCTAACAATGCCTGAGCACAGGGATCTGTTTCTATAGCCAAGCTATGTCCATGTCTATGGCTAAGCTGACAGTTATGGCCCTGTATCTCTCACTCTCACGTTTAGATCACTTTTTCTCCTTGGCCTGGTTTGGCTGTGCCCATTCCATCTTACAGCTGAACCACATCTGGATCCAGAGACTCTGATTTTAGGACAATTCCGCCTGCTATGACAGTAGTGACCCATAACAGGACCATCTGGAGCACTGACAGCCATCGGGTAGCGACTGC